ATTGAGTTAATCGATCGACGAAATCGGCCAAGAGGGGGTGAATTGGCAATTAAAAATTTTGTGGAAGCTTTTGCAGAAAAATTGAAAGTAATTGCACAGCGATTTACAGTGGTTCGACTTTCTCAAACAAAGTCTACGTCCACTACCTTAGCTATCCACACTAAGGATTTTCCAACAAATTCACTAATTTGTTCTTTCTTTTGAGGCCAAAGAGATAACCTTACAAAATCCCTCAAGAGTATACCCCAACTCTTGAGAACACTCTTTTTCCCAAAGAGAAGATTACAAATTTGCAAACTTACAAGAAAACCTCACAAGGTAAGATGTTTGCACAATTATAGAACAAGAAAAGAACACTCAAAGATAATTACAAATGAGCACAAATGGTGTTCTTGAAAGCAAAATGAATATTGAAAGGAAAATTGGCTTGATTTGCACAAACTTGGTGTTTGATGCTTTCTCTCTTGTTTCTCTATGATTTCTTTTTGATCAAGGGCTTCAGAACTTGTTTAAATACACCTTGAATCTCTTCTGAACGTTGGGGATGATTAGTGAAGATCATATAGCCGTTTTAGTGTGAAAACAATTAATAAAACAGTTTGGAGCGTGGGGGGAATCGGTACCCCCTATGGGGAATCGATTCCCTAAGTGTAAAATTCAAATATTTCGACCGTTGAACAAGGGGGAATCGGTACCCCCTATGGGGGAATCGGTTCCATCCGAGCATTCTGGAAATCTCGGAGCCAAACCATTCAGGGGGAATCGGTACCCCCTTGGGGGGGAATCGGCTCCCTCTGAGCAATCTGGAATTTTTGGCTTTGAAATGGTTCGAAATACTTTGAAAGATTATTTTGAAATTGTTTTAAGATTAAAACTTAATTTTACACTTAAGTAAGGATTAAAAATGATTTTTGAAATATTTTGAGTAATGTTTTGATATTCGAATAATTATATCGAATATACTTAGAAAATCATTTTGGAAAATCTTAAAATTCATTTAACTTAATTTGTTATATCGAAATATCAAAATGTTTTCAACACATTATATAATGATATAAGTATGCCTTTGCATATTAGACTATGCTTGAATTATCATATGTTATCACTCACTTGCATACTATATGATATTCATGCATAACCTATGTCCACATCTTATACTTAGCTAAATTCATGCATATGTTATGTTATGTTATGCTATGTTATGTTATAGATTGTTTCCTTAAGTTTGCAAATCATTTGAATTCATTAGTTAGGTGTGCAACATGTATTCATTGCATTCTTAGCCCATTCCCTATCTAATTGATTATTTTCATGCTTCACTTAGGTGTATTAGATGTTGAGGCAAGTTATGGCAACTTGGAGACAAATAATACAAGATATGACAACTCATATTAGCTCATGGATAAGGAATGTTAGCTCACCTAGCTTAAAGGAGCTTAATGAAACTTAAAGGACAACTAAAAGAGTTGAAGGGAAGCTGAACTTTGTTAAAGAATAGTTAAAGATCAAGTAGCTAAGCTGAGAACTAAAGGCAGTTGGAGGTAGCTGAAGTTTTAGTTGGGTAGTTAGAGTGTCATTATTCTAATCATTCATGAACCATTCATGAATGACGTGTGCATACAAGGAACAAGGAAGTCGAATCATCATGTTCATACAAGGGATCTATGTTCATACAAGGAAAATGAACTATCTCATGTACCTACATCAAGGGAGCTGAATCTTCATAATACAAGGAGAATGAATTCGACCAAGGGGAGTGGAACTACATGAACATTCAAATACAATCACTCATTAAATACATCTATGTTCACACCTAGCCGTGTATTATATCTTAGATCCTTAACACCTATAAATAGTTATGCCATTGGCATTTAATGGCAATTAATCATATTCATTTTAATTAAGTTATTCTTTGAAAGGTTTCTCTCTTTAAAGTTATTTGCTGAACTTTATCGATTTATCATTCATACTTTTAGGTCACTCCCATCTTGTAATACCCTATGTTAGTTTTATCGTTGCTTTATCGATCAACCAAAATTATGCCAAGAGGGGGTGAATTGGCAAAATGAAAAATTTAATGATTATGGAGAGAAAAGATAGGAAATTTGCACAATGGTTTAAAGTGGTTTGACTTATCAACTAACTTTACATCCACTACCTTAGGTCCACAGTAATGATTTCTAACAAATTCTCTAATTTGTTCTTTCTTTTTCTACGCTCAAGAGTAACATTTACAAATCTCTATCTTTTGAATGGCTAAGATAAAACTAATTCTCTTTTATAAAAAGATAAAAGAAATGTAAACAAGAAAACCTCCAAAAGGTAGTTGTTTACAAATTAAGCTCACTAAAACACTCTATGTACAAGAGAAAATGAAAAATAAGATTGAATGAGCTTTTCTCTTGATGTAGATTACTTGGATAGGTGTTGTAACCTTCTTCAAGTGTCATTAACTTATTTTTATATGTTGGAATGAGTTTGTGATTGTTTCTAGCCGTTGGGGATGTTTTGGAGCCATTTGGGATTAATATTTCCTCAAAAATAAACAGCCCAGTATAAGGAGTATCGCTACTCGGGTGATGAGTATCGGTACTGTCTTTAAGAAACCAGTTGTTTTTTATCGTTGGGTTAAGTGAGTATCGATACTGATGTAATAGTATCGATACTGATGTAATAGTATCGATACTACTACACAATAGTATCAATACTCCTTTGATTATCAGTACCATTTTTACCTACTAGAATCTAATCATATTTGAAAACACAAGGCAATATCGCTATTGCCATGAGAGTATAGATACCTTTCTTACCATTGGCATCGATACTGCGAGAACAATATTGGTATTGCTTACCCAGAAAGTTAGTTTTGTGTTCAAATTCCAGTTTTATGGACTTTAAATTATTTTTGTAAATTTTGAATAAATTCAATTAAGTCCAAAAAAAATTTTCCCTTAAATTTGTTATATCAAAATAGGTTCAACACCCTGAACCTGATTGAGCATAAAGTGTCACATTGGGCTACCAAAGCAACCCTTGATTCTCAAAACATGTTCATTTTCTTTTCAAAACATACTGAATAGTACCAAATTTGACATACATGACAGTTATAAAAACACTTCTATAAATCGAAGCTCTGTGACACATAGTTTAAAGTTAAAATAATACAACTTAAAGTTATAAAATCTAAATATAATAATAAGGGTCCTATGAATACACATGCCCTTTAAAGTTACAGTTTAGTACTATGGGAGAGATGTTGAAAGTTTTACTGTGATGGTGCTCCTCGAACGGCTCAAACTAATAACTTGTGAATGGAAAACATCCGAACGTTGAGCTTACAAAGCCCAACAATATAATCATTAATCTAGAGCAACATTATGAGTCTCATAAGCATAAGCATGCTAAAGACATTGTACTAAGCAATAGGTGCATGCATGATCATAATCAAGTGTTACCTACTTAAGGTTTAATTGTTCTATCACTAAAGTATGAGTCTCACGCTTCCCTTAATCATATACTAAGGGTCTCTCCATGAGTAATCCTCTATTAGGTCTCTAAACCCAATGATTGCGATTGTTGTGCATTCTCTAAATACAACATGTGACTCACTGATGTGTATTATCTTAATGTAGCACTGACACTGCTATGTATTATCTGAATGTGACACGGACTAGTATCTGAATGCGACACTCTACTAGTATCTGGTCTCACATAGTTGTCAGATACTAGTTAATTGAGGGAACTCGATAGTCGCATAACATCGATAAAATTCCCATTAAGATGCTGAATGATCTCCCAGACTCATATAGTAATCAGGTAGATAATGGAGGGGGAACCTGGTAATCACCATTGGGCTTTGCAAGGTTAGCGTTCGGATGTTTCCATTCACAAGTTAATATACTGAGTCGTTCGAGGAGCACCGTCGCACCAGGATTTCCAACATTCCTCACAAAGTATTGTTTAGTTACTTGTAGTGGGCATGTGTAATCATAGGACTCTTACGTATGATGAATTGTAAACTTTGGGTTGTATTAATTGATTTAAATTATGTCATGAAGCTCCGGTTTATAAAAAAAAGATTTTATTATTGTTTTGAACTATTGATTTTTAAATGGTGAGCCACTTTGGTATATCCATGCAACATTCAAATCCTTTGGACTTCGGGTCAGACCCGATTAAGGTGTTACATTGAAACTAATTCGTACTATAATATTATAAATAATTACAATTAAATTTATACATAAACTCGAACAACTCGACTAGGCTCGACTTTAAAAACTTTCAAATTAAATTTGAGTAATAAAATATGAATCATCAACTCAATTAACTCAGAATCTTTTTATTCAACTCGACACAATCAAATACTCACTCTTAGTTACTAGGCAAACCAAAATAAAAACATAAAATTATGCGTAGCTTTCGTTACTTTTTGTTTCCAAATTCCTTTAAATTAAAAAATATTTTATATCTTAATATTAAAAAAATAATCACAAAATTTTAAAATTATTAAAAAAAATAATCACAAATTTTTTGTTTGAGTTTCATCATTATTAAAAAAAATATTACTCTTTTACGAATTTGTAGATTTTTTAATATTTTTTTTATAATTATTAAAATATTTTAGAATTTTAAAACACTTTTAATTATTTTTAATATTTTCTTATAATATTTTATATCTTAATATTTTAAAATTATTTTAAATTTTTGTAGTTTTATTTAAATATAAAATTTTCAAAAAATAAAAAAAAATGTTTTACAGTAACATCATTATACTAAGTGACATCACTAAAACCCATTAGATTTAATTATTAAATCAATAAAATTTTAAAGTACAAAAATTTAAATGCATAAAAAAACATATATATATATATATATATATATATATATTAAAAAAGAAAAGAAAAGTTGAGAGATTCCTACACCCTCAAACCAAAATGTTAAATGATCCTCTCAAGGCTAGAAATAACCAATTTCTAAATTAATAGAGCTTAATAATAATCTACAAAAGCAGTGTTGAAATCAAACTTTCATATCCATTTGATATTATCAAGGAGACATTCCTACACTACAGCATGTATCTTTACCAATACACAAAACTCGACGACTCCTACTTGTACTTGGTGTTGCATGTACACTTGCATCACTGAACGACTCTCCGTATGTATCAGATTCACAGTTCTTCCCCTCTACTTTCTCCATTGTATGGACGACCGAGTGCCTCGGATTCTCCTCTTTTATTCCGGGAAAGCACCACGTTGCGACACTCGAATCCGGGTTACACAAACTATCTTCCTGCACAATTTCTCCAATCCTGCACATTATGCTGAATGCCAAGCCTTTTAAGACACGAGAATATGCTTCCAGAATGGAATGTCCAACATCCTGTGCACCAATCATTTTAAGATAAATGCAGTATAAAAGTTGCCATCACATGTATGTATAATGAATTTTACTTTAAACACACCAAACTTACCTTGCCATACTGAATTTTCGTAGCATCCATAAAAGTTTGAGGAAGGTTTGGATATGCACTCTTTATCTGATGTAGAAGTGTTTCGGATCGGTCCACTAGTAGCCCCGCCTTATCTATTTCGGACAATGGATCCTTAACGAAAGACCATGATTTTCTCACTGGGGATTTACCTCTTGTTTGTTCTGTAAGTCTACCTTTCCATGCAAATTCAGCAGCTTCCAGCCTATTAATGACCTCAAGGGCATTATTTTCCGAATTTAAATTGAGCAAAACGTACATTTCCTCGACTGAGCTGGACTCGAGAGTCAAAACCTTGTACAATTCGTCACCGAGGCTTGCCTTCCCGGACTGCAAAAATGAGCTTGTAATCAGGGCTTCAAGCTATGACATAACATCACAGAAATATATCAAAATGATCCAACAGTGAAGTGAAGAATGCCCTGAAGGCACCGAGTATGTTCACCTTGGGAAGGGCATCCCTAATGATGGATGGGATAGGCATTTCAAGCAAAACATTTTCATTAATCGATGCCGCAGCCTTGAATACTTGAGATACCACCTTGCCTTTACATTGCAGCCTCTTCCTTTCCGTATCTGAGAGCCCGGTTTTCGGTACTTCTGGCAATGGAAGCCACCACCTCTTGCTCTCCCTTGAACTCTTGTTTCTTCCTTCTGCTTTGCTTCCAACTTCTGTATAAAAAAACTCGGAATTCACCATCGACTCCAGGGTTTCCTGACAATATTAAAAATTTAATCAGGTAAATGTGGGACGTGTTCCTAAAAGAATATACAAACTAGGAAGAGTAAATGGATCGCCTACTATAAGCATCGAATCCAACTTCTGAAGTGCCGGGAGATTCATGTGAACGTCCGCACGGGCTTTTGGAGTCATTATCTGCTCAAAAGAGAATTTACGTAAGTATCACTATATTGCAGAATGCACATTCTCGTTTTAATCGGAGCCCAACAACCAGAAGAGTACCTCCATGGTCCTGCCATTTGTGCCGTTTTGCTTAGCAGGCACTAACTCGAACATATATTTGGTAGGAGAGAGTAACCAATCCATTTCTTTTCGCCATTTGTTTTTCCTTTCTTCAGCTAGTGGCTCCAGTTTCCACAACTCACCAAAAACTGAAGCTGCACATTCGAATTTGTGTACCTTATACGTTGAAGACGACTAATGAAAGAAGCGGATTCTAACAGGAAAACACTGAACATTGTAAAACATACATGCTTTTCAAGTTGCAGCCCTTCCTCATTAAGCAGGTTTCCCATTGATGGGAGACAAAATGAATGAAATACAACATGAAGTACTATGATTTTCATGTTTAAAACACACAAGGATCTTGAAACAAACTCACCTGCAAGATTGTTATGGCATTCGACAAAGCTAAAGCAGTGGAGACTCCCTTACGTCCACCTGTAATATCTTCTCCCAATAGAAGCTTTGCAAAATTTGCTTTCATTGTTTCGACATCCGAAAATTGAATGGGATAAGAAGGTTTCTCTTTGACATAAAAATGCTTGTGGCTTTCTGAGAGCTCCCATTCATCCGAACCCTGTTCGTCTCTCTTCATCCACTTGGAAGAAAACGATCCGAACACATCTTTGCTAGAAGAACAGCCGGAGAAATGATCATCCAGGGAATCAGATGCACAACCATCTTCTCGGCTTGTTCTGCTTTCATTCTCATAAGACTGGTTGTTGAGAATGCAGCTCTCGAGACCATTATATGTCATTATCCCTGAAAATTCTAAATTTAATATCCATTTACTGAAATCAAGTCGAAAAGCAAACATACATGAGCTAAAGTTTATGGTGTATGATGTTCGAACTACATAAACATTGCGCAGAAATATAAGCCTTTTCATGACGGATTTGTTTGACATTTCATGGACGCTCCTAAAAGAAAAACAAGACAAGGAATCCCACGTGGCATGCTTTTGAAAATCCCATTTCATGTTTAGCAATTCGAGGTTTTTTAACGATGTGCGTTTCTCAAATGAATCGTGTGATGATAAACATGCAATAATAACAGTGTCCTTGCCAATTGGCACAAAAATACATGATAAAGTTTACCATTCAAAATAAAAGACGAGATTATATCAAAGGCAGAAGCTTCCCAAGTTTTAAGAGCTAGCACCAACATCCAAGAAGAAAAATTTGCAAATAACAAGTGCTCAACAGCAAAGCACACTCGAAAATAGGCGTGCACTACTTAAAAATCGGAAGTCAAGATGGCCTAAAGTTAAAAGGGGGCCATAAGTTTAAAGAGGATAATTTTATATATGTTCCTTTTACCATCCTTTTTTTTTTCTAGTGATAGGATGAATCTACTTTTTACTTTTGTCTGTTGCTTTGCAAAGTACAAGATGGAGCAAAATTCGATTAGATTTAAAAAAATGACGTTTTCAATTCAACTTGAAAAAGAAAACTAATCTAAATTGACTGAACTCGTAATTTAGTAAATTCGACTCGACTCGAAATAATTTTAAATTCAAGTCGAGCTATAAAATATAACTTGAATAACCTAAAATTTTTATTTAGTAAAATGATTTTTAAGTTTGAGTAGAATCCCTCAGCTCTGTATGATATATATCACATATGAAAAAATATATATATTGTATATAATTATAAAAACTATTTAAATTGAAATTAAATAGTATAATATATATATATATATACACACACACAATTAAATTTTAAACAAAAAGCTCAAAAAAACCTGGATTCGTCTCGACTTAAATGTTATAAACTCAACTTGAAAATTATCAAAAAGAGATTGAGTTATAAAATAGAACTCGGTAATTTAATTAATTAAAATTTTTTAACTCAACTCAATGAACACTCACCCTTAATCGAGTATATTTTCCGCACTTGCTTGCGGTACTTAATTAAGTAAAGTGGAATTTAAGCAAAAGGAAATTAAGATTGAAGAAACGGGTGAAAATAATAGTCTTAGCATACAATAGGTCAGTTGGGAGCCTAACCTAAATCTAAACGGTAAGATAATCAAGGCGTCAATAATTACTAGTTTTTCAAACTTTTCAGAAGAAGGAAAAGTCGTCTATCACATAAGTTTTTAACTTCAGGGTAAACATCATGTTTAATACCTTAACTATTATTTTGTTTCGTTTTACTCGCCAATTACTATTTTTTTCAAAAAAACATATATAATATTTAGTTTTGATTTCATTTTGATCATTCATCGTTAAAAAATTAACGATGATGTTGATGTGTCATTATAAAATAATGCTACATTATTAAAAAACCTAAAAAATTATCACATCAACAATTTTATTAATTTTTTAACAGTGAGTGTTTAAAATAAAATGACAACGTGATATTTAGTATGATTTTTAAAAAAATTATTTTAATTATCAAAATAAAATTAATAATTAAGGTACTAAATGTATATTTACCGCACATTTACCTTAACACTTTTCCACTGTCTACATTGACTATGACTTCGAAGAAGAGTTTAAATGATGATAACACAGCCGTACCTACTCTGTTTCTATTCGAAAGGAAGGGAAGTGATGCGGCCACCACTAAATACCAGCAAAAATATAAACACAGTAACTCAGTTAGTAATTACTAGTGAAATGATCATCATTTCATTTTAATTTATAATATAAATAAGTATTTAAAGTATATTAATTTTTCATTTAAATATCTCAAGTATTTTTTTGTTAAAAGAAGTAATTAAAATTATTTTTTTGTCAAAATAAGTATTTAAAATATTCAATTTTTTTCATTGAAGTATCTAAAGTATTCTTTACTTAATGTTATGTGTTAAACTTTTTAAAAATTAAATAAAAAAATGATTGAATTCGTATTTTAACAAATAATAATTTAGATAACTATTTTAATTTAAAAAATAACTTTAAGTATTTATTTTGATAAAATGATATTTCGATTAAAAAAAAGATAGTAATTGTAAGTACTTATTTACTATATAAACCTCTCATTTCTGTTTGTAACTTGTGAATTATAATTATATACTGCTCCCTCAGCACCACCCTTGGAACTTCAAGTTGAAACAAAAGCAAAACCAAAAAGCTTCACATAATGATATAAGCCCCCCCCCCCCCCCCCATGTGGTTTGTTTTGCTTTGCTTGCAAGTAGAAGATACCATGTCTACGAGGCATATACTTGGGCCCACAAAGGAGATCCAGTCATTTTGAAGATGATGATATTAGTCCTCCTTGGTTGTTTAATCCGTGACCAGGATTATATTTTCTACCCCAACAATAACCAAATGGAGGCAATATATTGCTGCCTGCATGATAGTGGGGTGACTAATACAAGTGAAGGTTTGCTAATGGCCAAAATATAAAACATAACCCACGTTATGGGACCCTTCCCATCCTCCCACTACAATCCCCTACCTTTCAACTCATTCACACATAGGGATAATTTTTTTTAAATAATATGTAGTGATCAAAATAGTATTATATGTTCAGAAATTTTTTTAATTTATTGATAAATCATATATATTCTACAGGTGCAATTGCTCGAACATAAAATTTTAAAAATATATATATATTTTCTTTTACTACTAAACTCATTTGATAAATTCACACAGTAATCAATTTTAAATAATAAAAGGAATTCACATCAAATACAATGATGTTATATATGCATGATATATACATGCCTAAAAGGCTAATGTGTTAAGTTAGGGGTGTATATATATTATGGTTGCACAAGAAAACAAAATTAAGAAAGAAAGAAAAAAACAAAAGACTAGAATCACATGGCATGGCATAAATCACGGAAATTTCATCACGAATTTGTAACACACCCATACAACCATAACCTAAAGAAATTAAAAATAAAATGGCAATAGGTGTATTAATTAAGTGACTTTGTTCCTTCCTTGTTCTTGATTACCTACCATAAAGAATAAAAAAGCATGGTTTGATTAAATAAAAAGCCAATGAGATTTTAGGGGTTTCCTTTTCTTTTGTGGAGGGGAAAAAAGGCAAACAAAAGAGGTGTGTGATAATTTCAAAATTAAGATCATTAAAGAGAAAAGGGGCGGGGAATGGGAACCAGAAGAACCAACCACTAAGCAAGCAAACAAGGATTCCTTATGTGTAAACGAAAGGCCCAGAGAGATGCATTTGTTAAACACCAAAAATATATAAAACATTGAAGATTTTTTTTAAATGCAGTTCATTAACCCAGACGTTGAAAAGAAGAAATTTGCACACACACAAAAAAAAAACCCATTCCAACGTCTTCCAATCCCACATTAAAAGGAAACAAAAAAAAAACACTGCATTTGGAGAACATACCTGGGAGAGTGACAATGGAAGAGCTAAGTGGTGATGAGGCTTCAAAATTCAAAAGCAATCAAAGCTGCATTTGTCAATTAATGAAGGGGAAGCCAAAATCAAAAGAGAAAGGGCGAGGAGCTGTGATATTCAAAATCGGCGCAAAATAGAATTGATATATCAATGGCGAAGCATTGGGTGTTAGCGTAAGGCTCCTTCCTTACTGGAATGGAGAGAGAGAGAGATTTATATATATTCACACTGTCATTTGAGAAATTATTCACTACTTAACCAAACCAATTGCTTAGATTTTGAATTCATAAAAGAGGATAAGGAGCGTCCGTCTATAGGATGAAAGATTGGATGAGTTCTGGCCGTAGATGGAAAGTGAGGTCAAGCACCAAAATTATTTTTTAAGACATGTACATTGTACACAATACAGGGGTGATTAATGAATTTAATCTCTCGAATTCGACTAGGTCAAAGCTCAATAAAAACTTAACTCGGATTGATTTGACTCGAACTCGAGCTCGACTCAAAACTTTAACGATTTGAGTCGAGCAAAGTTCAACTTGACTCGATAAGTTTACGAGCAACTCGTTAATTTTTTTATATAATTTTTTAGTAATTATCTAAAAAATTATTTCATACACTCAAAAATCAAATCTTATTTATTATTTTAATGTATTTGTAGATTGTTACTTTAGAGCTTAGACCTTAAAATTACTTCATATACTCCTTTAATAATTTTTTTGCTTAAATTTATTGATTTTTGTTTATATTAAGTTTTATATAGTATTAGTGGATTTTATCTATGGTAAAATAGCTAAGAAAACAAGGTTAAAATTTCGGTGAGCTTAACGAACAATGAGGCGAGCAATGAGCATCGAGCTTAATGAGCATCGAGCTTAACGAGCAACAAGTTTTCTTAACGAACACGAGTCGAGCAAAATTTTAATGAGCTTAAAGTTCAACGAGTAAAGTCGAGCAACAAAATTTTTTAATGAACACGAGTCGAGCACCGACTAACTAGCGATCAACTCGCTCGATAACCACATCTACACACATGTTAAAAATATAAATTTTTTAAATAGAATAGGTGATATTAATAAAAGGTTCAATAGAAAAATAAATATTTAAATTATACTTAAAATTGACTTTTGATGCCCAAAGATTTTTTCGTTAAAAATAGACGTTGATGTTTTTTCCGTTACACTTTTAAGTACTCACTGTTAAAAAGAATTGTTAAATGACAAGTGTTACGTTTATATTTTTTTAAAAATAAAATATCATTTAAAAATATTTTTAAAATCTAAACGTGACATGTGTCACTTAACGATTTTCTTAACGGGAGACATCTAAAAGTGTAATAGAGAAAACATTAGGCACTTATTTTAACGAAAAATTCTCTAGACACAAAAAATTAATTTTGGGTATAGTTTGGACAATTATTTTTATATTAAGCCTTAATAAATAAATAATTAATT